TCGCAGTCGGTGCCTCGTTGCCACCGTGAAAATAACAAGTGCATTTAGAAGAATCGTAAGCAGAGCTGCTATAATATCGATAGCCACCAGAGCAACCAGATGTTTGTATGTATCGTCTCGTAAGTACTCCGCTTGCCAAGCAAGCTCATTAGAATTACACTTTACTTTTTCTGGAACTGAAGACCTGGAGATATTAAGAAGTAGAAGCATATTAACATGCGAAGTTGTCCGGCGTGCAACTTCCGTCAGTCGCAGGATATTTTTTTGTTCTAAGAAAGTGTATCGAATTAAAAACCTTTAGATGATTAGAAAGTTAGAGAGGGGCTCTAGGGCCAACACCCACTCCCCCCCCAACTTCCCCCGCTTCCCCCCCCACCCCCAATACCCGAAAACATGAAACATATTTTTGGATGGTTAAAATGCCGTATTTACACGATTGAACGCTGCAGATGAAAGAAAAATTTCCAATACACGCTTCCCTTAGTAAAACCCGCACCCAATCAGAACGATGCGACGTTTATTCGAGGATTATGAGAGAAAAACTACGCTGTAATCTACACCATCCAGACAATTACGATTTTATCTCAGCAAAGTATTGAGACTGGTTTTCTTACTAAGTATTTTTCTGTTTTGCACAATATTTGCTAATAATTTATCGCAATTGGCAGAGATTTAAAAAATGTGATCTTTAAAATAACGCAGCCCTCGAAAAAAGCCAGTCGCCCTTGAATCAACGTCGCATCGAAAACGCTAAAAATTAATAAACGCTGAATCGAATAAATACGGTGTATGTGGAAGCAGTTCCTCTATTAACGCTGCTTATATTGTGACGGTCATGAAAAAATGTTTAAAACTGTCACGAGGACAACTATGATTTCTACTATCTTTCAACTATGTTTTTTTCTTCTGGAGTCTAAATAGCGCTATGTTGTAGATAAGTTTCAGCTTTCGACGAACGCAACTTTTTGGGGAGTTGTACAGCGTGCTTTTGTAGAAAAACTGAGTGAAAAAAATAATCCTACGGCCGCTGCATTTTTTCCAAAAAGAGCATTTTTATACCGTCAATTTGGTTTTTGGTTCTTATATTGTTTAATTTCCCTAAACGTTGCTAGCAAAGCACTTTTTCACACTGAAGCAGATTTTGATGAAGATTACTAGGAATTAAAAATTCATTTACAATATTTTAATTGGGTGCATTGGCACAAGGAAAATTTTTAACTCTTTTTTGCCGACCCTATCTGGCACATGTGGGAGGCAGTGCAATGAAGTTGATTTGTAATGTAATTAACTGACCTGTTAGTCTGCATCATTTTACGCCGCCGAAATCTTGATGAAACTAAAAACCAGCTTGAAAATTAAAAGATTCGCGTTGCATGCCGTACAGGAATAAACAGCCTAGGAGCAAACTTGCTGTCAATTAATTATCATTTTAAAGTGCAAGTTATCTATAGAGAAAATCCTTTCCTTTGATGACAAAAGGTTAGTTTTCCTTTTTTTGTTGTTTTCTATTGTCTCTGCCAATTTTTCTTATAAAGCGATATAACTATGAAAACACACAAAGGCTTCTAGAATATTCATCGCGATCGGAATAGCAAAGCTAAGAGCCTCCTCTGATAGCCAACGAAAGAACTAAAGAAATTTATTAATGAGTAGTATTGCTAGCTTCAAGTTTTGTTGTTTTACACTAGTTTACCTCTCCGAACGCAGAGGCATATGGTTCTCGAGGAAGACATACCTGGTAACGCAACCAAAGCGTCTTGGGTGTACAAACACAAAAATCTGTTTGTTTGTTTTCTTTTTTAACCAGTTGACAGAATAAATTGGATTCTGAAGATGCAAATTCTAATGGTTATTTTCAGTCAGAGTAATACGAAGATCTGAGCCAAAAGCAGTGTTAAGCTTGCAGCTGGCTGCGATAACGAACACGGTACTGAAGTAAAACAAGAGAGGATAAAGGGGACAGAGAAGGCATCCCTCATACACACCCTATTCCACAGGTAATTCGTCCCGAGTTATTTTTAACACCACAAATCTCAAGGGGGATTAGACAACAGCCAATCACATAGCGCGAATGAGCGATATTGCTATTCGTCTTGTCGACGAAAACGACTACAGAGAGATTTCTGCTAAAGCTGTGTCAGCGAAACGGAAATTAAAAAAGAATCGCCTTTACTCTCTTGTATAGAGCTAACAGTACAGCACTGAAATCTTTAACACACTGAATATTCTCTCAGGATCATTTATAATTTACAGTGTGAAGAGAGTAATTTCTGGTTTAATATTTATTCTTTTATTAGTCTTTTATTATTCAACAAAAATAACACTTGGCGTCGTACTTACTTTATTGTACAAACGACCGGTTTCAATAGACCGGCGAAATTTCTCATTTTATTAAAGCACTGAGGTTACGACAACTTCGAGTTAAACTGGTTTCATGGGTTGTCAAAGAGTCCAGCGATTTGCTTTTCCCTGATGAGCGCCGACTCATTTCGCTTCAATATTCAGAAATGCTCTCGATCTCTTTACGCTTTCCTATTTATATTCACGACTAAGAGACGGGAATGGGTGTGCAGCTCGAACTAAGGAGCCTGAGTGTTTAATGCCGTCCAAATATCATACAAAGTTCAACATCATAACTAAAGAATAGTATACAAATATCCCTAAATAAAGTAACTCAGGCTAAACTATTCACGTGCGCCGCCTGATACGAAAACCCAAAAACCCAATGGGAAAAAATTGGGAACGTATCCCCCAACCGATGCGGTCGCACAACCTCTGGGGGTTAAAGGTAAAAAATCATTCGATAGATGAATAAAGTAAGATATAAAAATAGTAGTTGATACTTCGAGAGCTGAGATGAATACATTACAACCGTCAAAACCTTATATACCTAATAACAATAGAGTCAATTAACGCCATAACGGCTCACGTGGGTTCATACCAATAGGAAAGTATTTACATTCTCTGTCACTGCCACTACGTTTAGCTCCGCCGAATGTAAATACATTTCGTTACCTTTCGCCCAACATGTTTTGCAGGGCGTTTAGTCATGCGAAACCTCCACGAAACATCCACGCAGCGCGCGAGGTAACTTTATCCCGATTCTAAAAATAACTCGAGACGAATTACATATGGAATAGGGTGTGAATGGGAGATGCCTTCTCTGTCCCCTTTATCCTCTCTTGAGTAAAATAATGTAGGTTTTAGTTTGTTTTATTTATTTGTCACCTGCTCCGTTCAAATTTTTTTCAACACCAAGCTGTCACCTTTTACAACCTTACTTCTCTGCTCACTTGAGGAACAAGTTTTTTTCGAAACATTTTCGAATACATCTAGAGGGAAGACAAATTCTAGAAAAAAAAATCGTTTTAAAACCTAACACGGATACGTGTGGACACGGCCTGTTCTAAGTGGGTACTTCGAACTTTACAAGCAGAGATGTTGAGGGGAAAAACGATCATTTTGCAGTCTAATGGTAAACGTACGTGGGAGTAATGCTATTTCAACTTAAAGGGCAAGCATGTTGGTTTCGATTACGTTTGAATGTGACTTTACTAACAAATGTTATTTAATATTTGAACGCATTTGATACACTGCCGATCGGATTTCGATGACGAATTAGTTGATCAAAATATTTGATGATTTTTACGGCGCATGCCCGAAGCAGTGCTATAAAGCTGATTTGTATTGTCATTCAACTGACCTGTTAGTCTGCAGCATTTTACGTCGCCGAAATCTTGATGAAACGAAAACACCAGCGTGAATCTTCAAAGATTCATCTTGCATGCAGTGCAGAAATAAACAGTCTGAAAACGACCTGGCGTCAATTATCATCTTTAAGTGCAAGTTATCTGTAGAGAAAATCCTTTCCTTTGATGACGAAAGGCTAGTTTTTCTTTTTCTTTCTTTCTTTCTTTTCTTTTAATTTTTGTTTCTTGTCTCTGCTAGTTTTCTTACACAATGTCATTAACGAAAACACACAAACGTATCTAAAATATTCATCGCGACCGGAATAGCAAAGAACCTTCTCTGAAAGCCAACGAAAGAAGAGAAATTAATTAATGAGTAGTTGCTTGCTTCAAGTTTTGTTATTTTATCTTATTATTCTAGTTTTCCTCTACGAACGCAGAGGCATATGGTTCTCGAGGGAGATAACCTGGTGACGCAAGCATAACGTAAGCAAAGAGCCTTAAGGGTACAAACACAAAAATCTGTTTGTTTGTTTCTTTGTTTGTTTTTTACACTTGACTGGATAAATTGGGTTCTGAAGATGCAAATTCTAAAGGTTTATTTTCAGTCAGATTAAAACGAAGATCTGAGCCAAAAGCAATGGCAAGCTTGCAGGTGGTTACAATAATGATGACACGGTTGTGAAGTAAATGTAAGCTTTAGTTTAATAGTTTTATTTGTTACCTCCTTCGTTCACTCTGCTTTTTCTGTTTTTTTTTTTGTTTTTTTTTTACATCAAGCTGTGAAAAATTTAGATGGAAAATGACATCAATACCAAAACAGCCAAAACGTGATCAACTTGGTGCGTCATTTTAGTCATCGTCGAACATATTAAAACCGTATGCTCATCACGAGACTCATTTGCATAAATGAAAGTTGTCACGATTCTTATCCCGAGTTTCCACGGTCTCCGCTAGGACGCCTGGGACTAATAATCACCATTTGGAGAGGAAACACGAAAAAAAGGGTAAGGTTACATTTTCAGAATCTCGCAGCTAAAGCAAGCGAGACTGAAAATAAAATAAAATAGAAAAAAGAATTGGATGATCATTAAATTATTTCTTGCATTGTAACATGAATTTGCAATCTCAAAGTCAAACTCCTTGGTTAAAATATTTATTATAGAGAGTACTTTACTGCAACCCACATATAAGAACTTGCGTGATTCTACTTGGCTAAACAGGTGCTTATATCTATGGGCTTAAAATGGCAAATAACTACGCCAGCAGGTTCTTAAACTACTAGGTTTTTACACTTGGGTTTTTACTGTGTTACTCGTTGGCCTCTTCGATGCTAGCGATATAATCGGATTGCAGCTGCCGAAATGACAACAAAATCGGTTGCCCGTTTTCGGACAACGAGTGAGCCTGGTTTGTACTGAGTCCAGGTTGATTGCTCTGAGTTCCTCTTATTTCTGCTTGTTGAAGGGTGTTTTCAGGTTTTCTTAGATGTAGTATCTCGAGAAATGCGCGTCGCAGTTTCTCCATACGCCAACAGTAAATGATAGGGTTAAACACAGAACCCAACATGATGCAACTTTCTGCCCATCTCCATATGATGACTATGAAACGCGGCGGCGTGGAAATGCTACCCAGCGGAAGAGCAGCCGGTGTCCCCACTACTATTGCTGGTAAATAAGTGATTACCAAAGCAATCAGAATGATTGCCAGAGTAGTGGCGGCCTTTCTTTCTTTCTTGATTCTTTGGATTTCTTCTTGAGGCAGTTGTTCGGCCCGCAGGCGTTTAACTTGTCTTCGTGTTTCTGAGTAAATGTAACCGTAAGACAATAAAATAACAACAATGAAAAGAGAACCAGTGACAGTTTGTACGATAATGTTAAC